ATGCAATTCTGAAAGTCCGAAATTGTGTATTTCCTCTCTTATTTAGGCTTAGCAATGTGTAATTTCATGTCGCGTGAATAGAATAAGAAAGTCCTATTTAAAGTCTGTATTCTGTTAAAAGTACGCTAAAACCAAAGATGAAAGTAATTATAGAGTGATGCTAAAAATTAAACCAAAAAGTGCAAATGATTATTACATTTTTTAGAGTGCTTAAAATTTTTGGATTATTCTAAACGTCCAGGGCTAGCAAACCCAAAATTTTAACATAATCAGACTTATGATCTCAAAAAGAGTCAAACACAATCAGACTTATGATCTTATCCATAAAGTTTACTCGAAATCAATGTTAACCGTGTTTAACTTAAGGGACTTTGGTCGCCATTACATGGTTAAACAGAGAATATTTGTGTTGTCCGAGGAAGTATAGTTTTTAAGTCGCACTAACTTTGATAGTGAAAATTGGGTAAAATAATCATCACAAACCTTATCTCCCATTTTCGCATAGATTCGAGTACAAGTTTTTGTTGAATCTATTCTTCTAACAGCTTAAGCTTCCAAAGAGCAAACAAACTCATTTGTTTGAATTATATTCTCAAAAATCCCTCACATGCACACCATATTCATTTATTCCCATCAAAAGTCTCACTCGTGAACAATTTTTCCCACCTCCGTTCTCATAGGAGTGTTCTGAACAAGCTTAATAATTTAAATTACTTTTTAAACAGCTTTTATAGCCTCATACGACATTTTACAGTATCATGAGCTTGTTGCAAATCATTTTCATAATATCCAATAGAAGCACCTCTAATTACCAAATCAACGGAAACCCAATTGAAGCAATAAATTAACCTAAACACTCACAATTTGAAGATTAGGGTTGTCTCCAGGTAAGGTTGTTTTAGCTTTATCGATATCGTGAACCCCGGCCTTAACTGAAAAGCCCTTAGCCAACAGCTGCTCCACAATCCTCTTCCCAGTACTTCCCGTGGCACCTGCCACAAAGATTTTCTTCTTTTGAGGAGCACCTACTTGTTCTTCCTCTGTAATCTCGCTTCCCTGCATCTGTAACTTTTAAGATGAACTCAACTTAAATCAATAAAATGAAATCAAGAAAAGGGGAATCAAATGTGTGTGAAAATTGAAAAGAAGTTTGAGATAAGAAAAAAGAGAGAGACTTACAGATGAAGCCTTGAGGTGAAAAAAGTGGGATTTCCGGGTGGATAATGAGGAGTGAAAGAGAGAGGTCCTGCGGAACTGTGTAGAAATGGATGTGGATGTGGCTGTGGCCATGGCCATGCTATTTGCTTTTGGAATTATACCCGCCACAATTATTTCTTGGGTAAATTAGGCCCACTACCTTAGAAAATTAACTAAATTGATTAATACAATAATAACTAATTAAGTCAGTTAAGAACGTATTAAATACGTTATAAAAAAACCCCCAAATCACTCCATCCCAGTCCGTAGATTC